AACCTAGGAATGAAACAAACAAGAAAGAAAATGAGAAAACACTTAAATAAGATGCAGCGCAGATGTCCAGATTACCAAAGGCAAACCCATGAAGCAATGAAGTGGAACAATCCAAAAGACACCCACCTGGCCAGATGTGGCGGTGCACGCCTTTAATCCCAGCACTGGGGAGGCTGAAGCAGGAGGATCATTGCGAGATCGAGACCAGCCTGGGCTACAAAGGGAGCTCAAGGCCAGCCTGAACTTCAGAGTGAGACCCTGTCTCAAAAAGACAAAAAAAAGACACCCACCTGGACTCGCTGAAGTGGTAACAGCAGAAGTAACAAAGGAGATCACCAAGGCTCTAGAAAAAATCAAATCAGAAATAATTTCTCAGATAACTACACACAGTGATCCTCCTGCCTCAGCCTCCTGAGTGCTGGGCTAACAGGTGTGCACCAGGCATGGGGCAGGAATGAAATACTGACACATGATACAACAGAGATGAGTCTGGAAAGCATCAACACTTGTGAGAGAATCCAGTCCCAAAAGGCCACGAACTGCACATAGTTTAGTTCTCAGCCTGGAAAAGAAAAACGTTCCACATTTTTCTACTGACATCCTTTGAATCTTTACCAAAATTATGCTCAAAATGGTCTCTGTGCCAGGCGTCGTGGCGCACTCCTATAATCTCAGCACTCGGGAGGCTGAGGCAGGAGGATTGTTGCGAGTTTGAGACCAACCTGGGCTACAAAGTGAGCTCAAGCCCATCCTGAACTGCATAGCGAGACCCTGTCTCAAAAAGACAAAAAAAAAAAGTCTCTGTAGTTTTATTTTTTAATCTATTTTTGATCTATCATTTGGGTGCAAAATAGCTGTTTTAAGTATAAAGTGGAAAGAGTTTTTGTTGGTGTTTAGTTTTATCTGTTTGAGTTTGTGGGGGCGTTGAGACAGGGACTTGCTCTGAAGGCCAGGCTGGCTTTGAACTCATGTCCCTCCTGATTTAACCCACACATAAGCTGAAGTCGACAGTGAATGCCCCTTGTCCAGCTTTAGAGAGGTTTTAGACGTGGGTGTACAGTCATGTAACCATCACCCCATCACCCAATCCAGATGTGAGTCACCGTCATCAGCCCTGAGCTCTTGTGTTATCTTTTGCAGTAAAGCCAGGCCTTACAGCCAAGCATCCATCTCATCTTCAGCTCCTTTTTGTTACTACAGGTTAGCTTTTCTCATTCTAGAACGTGGTGGAACTAAAATTGGATGCACTGAGGGTAGGGATGTAGCTTAGTGGTAGAGCACATGTCTGCCACTTGCAAAGCTCTGGTTTCAATCCCTAGTACAAGTTTTTCATATATATGTTTTCATTTCTTTAGGGTAGCTGCCTAGGACAAAAATCATCATACATTAAGTATATGGTTAATTTAACACAAAATGGCTGTTTTCTACAATGGTTTACCACCTATTTTCCTACTAGCAGTGAATTAAATAGTGTTCTGGTGGCTCCACATCATCAACACTTGGTATTGCCATTTAAAAAAAAAAATGGCCATTAAAGTAGGTATCTTCTTGCCGGGCGTGGTAGTGCAGGCCTGTAATCCCAGCACTTGGTAGGCTGAGGCAGGAGGATTGTTGCAAGTTTGAGACCAGCCTGAGCTACAAAGTGAGCTCAAGCCCAGCCTGAACTGCATAGCAAGACCCTGCCTCAAAAAGACAAAAAAAAAATTTAAAAATAAATAAAAAAATAAAGTGGATATCTTCTTGCCATGGATGTAGCTCAGTGGCACAGCGCTTGCCTGGCAAGCGCGAGGTTGTGAGTTCGATTTCCACTACCAAATATGTATGTATACTTT